TATATATATCATTCATTTAAATATTTTGATCTGCCACTTCTCCCAATTGGCAATACTTGTGAGAGTTTAGACTTATTAAACCAGTCTTGTTTTACACATAAAATCATAACATTATTGCGTTTGACCTGAGATGTTGCTGCTGCTGGCCCCTCAGCCTTAATTGTCAAAACTTTATCAAATACACAAGAATAAGAAAAAAAATTGTAAAAGAAAATAATGAACCTGAGGTCTGAAGTACCTATCAAAAAGCTTTATATATATACAGCTCATAAATACCAAACCAATGCCTGACTATCCCAAAATCACCACAATAAAAGATTCAATAAAAGAATTATGAATGGTATTAAAAATATATCACCTGTATCACCTGGAACTAATTCCCCTTCATCAGTGCCAACATGTCGTAAATGAACACCTAAATTTCAAAAAGTCTGGATTACACTAATTGCATGAATGAAAAGAAATTATTTTGTATTTCTTGATTAGAGTGAAGATCGCTATTGTTTGAAAACCACAATACTAAAACTAAATGCTATGAAAAGTATATCACCCCTTTTAATAATTAAAGGAAAAAAGGCATTGGCAAAACAAAAAACTAAAATTGTGTGGCTACTTCTTTTTGTCATTTTATTAGTTTGATACTTTTAGAAACAAATATGATGAGGCAAGACCATTGCAAGAAATAATAATTTCACCTGATTCATCCGTTAACTTCCATTGGTTGAAATATAAAAAAAACAATTTGATATAAAAATTAAATTACTTAAAAAATACATATTCGGGAATATTCTATTGCAAAAGGATCAAAAGGATAGCTAACAAAAATTGTGCTACAATTTTTTTGTCCCAAAAATGACTAAAACAGATATGGTATTAATTTGTGCTTCTCTGAAATAACAATTTTAGATATGTCACTTTTTGAAGTTATGATGAGTTTAGTTATAAAAGCGCATTTTTGGACGAAGGGGACCGATTTTGTTTTATGCTGTAACTTGTAATTTTATTTTGACTACCACTAAAGCTTATCATTATCAAAAAAGGTACAATTATAAGCAAAATTGCCCGAATTCAATTCCAATTCCAATCTGCTTTTGCCTGCTGTAATTTTACCTAGGAAAGAAATTATTACTCTTGTTGGAAATAAAACTCAAAAATGTACCCGAACAACAAAAATTTATCTTATGTTCAAATTAGCAAGAAAAATATCAATATTTTAGACCGAAAGAAAGTTAGTAACATATTACCGACAAAATAATATTTTTGAGACATCAGTAATGTGAAATTATTTGAGAAATTTAGATCAGTCTGGTTAAATGTGCATCAGAAATGAAACAGTTAAATATGTACAACAAAATAGAATAAAAGGGTACCATTAGGCACTATAAATATGGAGTGTACCATCGACACCTAGAATGACCAGAAAACATGTAACCCAATATACCAGGCGATACGAGTCAAATACATAGTTTAATCTCGATCCAAGCAAGGGTTGGGAAAATAATCAGATACTAATCAAGACCTGTTCTTCCCAAGTTGTGCATATTATATTTTGTAGATTTACAAAATCAGTATTCATTGATAGAATTATTTCTATTTAATCAATATCAAATTGTGTGTGTTTGTACTGCAGTACTCACTTACCTCCCTAAGGTACCAATGAAATACCCCAACATTTTGAATAGTTGTCTAGAATTTCCGGTAATTCTCAAAAATTTTCTGTAATGCCCTCAAACTTCCCAAAAATATCCTGCAGATATATTGTTTAAATTGTTCCTGTTGCATCTGAACTGATTCTGGTAATTCCCCACTTTCTGCGGTCATAATTTGTGCAATTTTTTGGCCAACCGAAAGGCATTTTTTTTTCACTCAGCGTGATGACAAACGAAAACTTCCTCATATTAAGTTTTACAGGGTTTTGTAGTTATGAAGCATGTATTTCATGTGCTTGTTCTAGTAAAACTTGCAGCTTAATTGTTTTCTTATATTTCCTGAAATTCTTGTACACTAAAACATATTATCCAAACATCCTTTCTATGTAGCTATCTAAATGTAGGGAATTTTGTGTAGTAAACGGACATCTCAACATTTATGTGCAAGTCTATTTTGCAGTTTGTTAAATGAAAAATAAATAGGCATCCTCGGGTTTATCTAAGATCCTATTAGCTATAATTGCTATAATTTTGTAAACTAGCAAAGTATTCGAAGCACAAATTATACAAATTTGTGAGTTCCAATCCCGTATAAACCACCCTTAAATTAACTTGTACATAAGACAACACTTACCCGTGTATAGACTCATTCTTTTTCTTACAGCTTTGATCACAAGCACAACAAATTTTCCAGTGGGTGGTCATTTTTATCAACAAAAACACGGACAAGGTACGGATATAAACACAAACACCAAGAGTGAAAACAACAATGGTACAGACTGTTAGTATTTTCTGACAGTTGCAATGACCTAGCTCGGGGTTGCCAATTATATTCGGATTTCAGACACTGATTTTACGTTCTTATAAAAATTAGTAAATGTTTTCAGAAAAATTACGGCAATGTGGCAACTCAGTCAGTTGGCGGGTGACGCATGCGCATAAGATCCACACCTTCTCTACAAGAATATCATAGCCACCTGGGGCGCATCGCTTTTTATTGTAGTAGGGCCACTATATTATCTAGATATATGATTCTAACCAACCCTGTACAATATAGAACTAATTTCGATATTAAGGAATTCTGTTCGATGCCTTTCTAAGCCATATTTTAATTTTTTACTTTCTACTGACTCCAGACTTGTAAAGAAAATAATTATTTTCTGGAAAACCGCTGAAGAGACGTATAGCACCGTATTCGTCAAAAACAATATTAAAGTATTAGCGGATTGGAAAATGCAATAATATACATGGTGTCCCGATTAAAATTTCAATGTTGATGCTACTTTTTCGAAGAAGCGGCAATGTTGCAACGTAGAAAATATTTTAGATCGATAGAGCATCGCCGCTGATGGAACTAACCAAATTTTTAAAACAAACCAATGAATCATTCGCCCTGAAAGACTAAGGCTTCACAAGCCTTGAAACACTCTATGTATTATTATTTTTCCTGAAATATCTTTCAAAAACCTATAACTTTAATTGAGTATGTCATATACTTATTTTTAATACTTTGCGATTTATTTGAATTTTTCCAATATTACCCCTTTTCTGTTTAAAACTATTGCCATAGTATTAGTCAGTCTACGTCCAACATCGGAGATGGAAGGACCTCTGAAGAAGCTCGCCACTCGTGCTAGCGAAACGTTAGGAAGTAATTCCAACCGATGACGGCCTTTAAACCCGAATCAAGATAATAGCTCATCAACGGGCCGCGAAAGCCTTAACCAATTCTTCTATATTATTTGCAATATGGATATACGATTGTTCTGCTTTTTCTATATGTTTAACAGAATTTCTATAAGTTTGAGGACATTGGAGTTAACACGGGGAAAAACATTGTTACGACGAATGGCAGATTTCAGTTGGTGCCAAACATGTTCAATGGGATTAAATGTACAGTGGTAAGGTGGAAGCCTCAAAACTGTATGTCATAGATTTTTTGAATAATTATCAAAGACGTATTCCTTTCGTAGGTTCGAGCTTTGTAGAACCTCAATTAATTGCTTTTTGGCATAATCTTCGTGAAAATAAATGTCGTTATTATACATGTAGTTTTGGATTGTTGCTTTTGTGTCACATGAGCAAGGGGTTTTAGTCAACTGTCCACTGTGATAACTTGCCTTGTCCATTAGAATGACGCTATTAGGAGGAATGTTTGGAACTAGTTTGTTTTTAAACCAACATTCAAATAAATCAGCGGTGGTGTCTTCATGGTAATCCAGAGAAGAGTCTTTAATATTTTTCGCAGACAGAGAAAGTCCATTTGGAATCCAGGGCCAGTATGCAAAATAGTTATTCTTTTACGTCTTTTTGATGGCGCCTTTGTTTTACACTTATCAGTTGAGTCAACCCAACCCTTTTCCGGGCTATCATAAGTGTCGAACCAGGTTTCATCCAAGTAAATAATTGGCCTTTGTTGTTCTCTATAATTCCTATTTTTTTCTAGATATTCGAGTCCCCATTTCCGAATTCTAAAAGATTCGATTAAAACTTGCCTTTTGTCAATTTTTCCATAAAGTAGTTCTGCCACATTGAACACCGATTTCATCTTTTTCAAGCCTCCTAGTTAAGATATCTAATGTAGGCACGCTTTGTTCCTCGTATAACTGGTAAATTTTACGCCGTATTATATCTTCATCACTTTCATCTATACTCGATAAAATGTCAGCATCGCTTCTTTTTTTCCTCGCTGAAATGGGATTATTCACAATTTTCCATACAGTTGATGTTGGAATTTTCGTCAATGTGGCCGTTTCTTCTAAAGATGCTTGCTTGGTGGCAACACGTTCAATGAGAGTCAAATAAACATTGTTTATAACTTCCTTAGTCTCAATAGAACAGTGTTTTCTACATTTGGGCGGGAGCATCTCCTGAGATTCAACACACGCTGTATTAAACACGAAATAAGAATGATTACTAATAAACGTAAACTAAGTAGTATACCAAACCAAAGAATATTAAACACAGGTAGATATAAAATTATTTTCCATTTCGGACCACAGTTTTACCTGATTTTAAGTTCCGAAACTTTAGATAATAGTCTTGTTGCATTGTATGTTAATCCAATTCAAAACCAATTGGTCACTTATTAATATATCTATGAACAGACCATACCGGTAAGGGTCTGCTCGGAAGTAATAAACAGTAAGCAAAGTTAATCACGAGGTCGGTTGTTAAAACGCAATATTTCTGGTCATGGTATACTTAACTGTAGTAACGATGCCGTGACATTACATTGTTATTGTTTAATAATCCGTGCAAATTTACATTATTACGCTCTCCCACTAAGAAACAAAAAAAGTGACATTAAATTTGTGTGAACAATTTCATAAAGCCGTTATTTCTTTCCAGGTGAAGAAGCAAAGGCGCACCGTCAAACGCGATCAGCCCACTGCCCCACCCGAGTACCTGTCTTATCGCCATTTTTCCATCCAAAGCGGAGAGGTAGGTGATCGATCCGGTCATCCGCATTTTATTACAAATATCACCAACACGTCAACGCTCAACTAGGTAGTTTTCGCCTAATAAGATCGTGTAGATCGCGCCAGTATTAACAATGGAATTATTTCTGCCCGATATCCTTAAACATAAAATTAGGTCGTTAGAACGTCGTTGTAAATTTCACCGTATTTGTTTTTAGTTAGAATGAAACCGCACGTAAGATACATCAGGATAAAATCTTATTTCTATGGCAGCCAATTCGAAAGCTATATTTAATAAGTCCAGTATTTGAGTAGAATTACTGTATTTGTATTTCATTTTGAAACATATAAGATCGTCTTGATTTCAAGTGTTAATAATATTTTTTTATAACGTTAGACAGATTCGGAAACTTTCAGTTGGGTTCAAATGTTATGGTAATTTTTGCTATAGTTAAACCCAGTCTTATCGTGCGGGTTCAAAGGTCACCAATTATATGAATCCAATCAGAAAACAAAGAGACTACGAAAATGTTGTACAGGTACAAATATACCCGAAGAAAGGAAAAAATAGTTTTTGTTGTGGCTGTGATAGTAAAAAACTAAATTATATTGGATATTTTGATAGTCTAATGAAGTAAACACCTTTTATCCTTTTTATAACAACAATTATACATATACCTTATACATTGATTCTTGATCTATATATAAGCGGAAATGTAGAAAAACCATCAATCTAGGTATGGAGCTAACTTTAAATTATTGACAAACCATTCTCCTGTGACACGCGTACCTTGTCAAATTGCAAAAAACTCCCTAATAAACCTCTCATTTATTCTAATATGGAAAAGATCTTAGATGTTAGACAATTACTTTTTGTCAAAATTACGAATTACTTTTACAAACGCAAGAACAGCTTATTCCATCACGATCTCAAAGGCAAATACTACGAATAACAAGGAGAGAAAATACTTACTTACTTAGTAAGAAAAATTATTGGTCTGCTACCCTTCGTGGTAATTTAAAATTCTATATTCTGCAACAAATATGCAAAGAAAATAAAAGAATAGAAAGAGTACAAATAGAACGAATAGAACACCCCAGATTATATATCCATCAAGTAGACAACTCATTAAGTTTCAACTCTGTGTGGTTTAAATCGGTAATATTACACACCACACACTTAAAATATTTGTATATTGCAATTGTGTATGTCAGATCACACACAAATATTATACCTTAACCATTTCTTCCTGGAACCATATATTGCGTCTTCTCGGTGTTCACTTCCAGATCCCACTGATTCCATTCCTCTATCATGTATTGTTGATCTTCGGCCATAATAACTTTGCCGTATTTTCTACTCTACTGCTTTAGAGCGACACACAGGGGAAGAGGCAGCGACCATGTGTCAGTGCTCTTGTCTGTTGAAAAGGTGCAGAGGTCTGATCTCCGATTTTTATTATCGCTTGGTTTTTTCTCTAGAAAATTTTAATTGCATATATGTATGTTTTGCTAACCCTGCTTCTTCTAGGACAATCGTTAGTCTTCCTCTTAAAGATATTGAGCTGACTCCTCTATAATTCCTGCATTCATTTCTATTACCCTTCTTATAATTCGAGTTTATGTATGAGTATTTCGTCTAGATCTTTTTTTACTTCCTCATTGCTTTGCCCGTTTATATACTATTTAAATGTTTCTACTTATTTAATGTTCTTTTGAGTGAAGACGCCATTAATATTCTGAGAATTCATGTCGCGGATAAAAGGAAATACTGGCAGGCGTTAGATATTTGCCTGTAATCCATTGTCGCCAAGTTATATCTTCGCCTGTCTCCTATCATTTTCATTATGTCAACAATAGAATTAAAGAAACTAACCAATGCTAACCAAATGTTTGTTTATTTCTACTCCAAAGTATTTGGTTAGCTTTGGTTAGTTTTTATTATTCTTTATAATTTAGAACAGTGCCATGTGTCAACCGTCAAAGATACGACGCCCATTGTATCAGATTTAAAGGATCAGAATGATCACCCAAAGTTAAATGGAAAACGTCTCTTGAAATCTGCAATTAGCAGATTGGAAACATTCTATTTCGAGTGAGACACTTAGAATGATGTCCCTGTCCATTGCCGGTAACATATATAAATCATAAATCATATTCCGAACTTCCATTTCAACGTCTTCCACACACCTTCAGGCTTTGGTTTTTTTTTTGTTTGTCCTTTTTAGTGTTGTCCTGTTTAGTTTAGTGTGCATTTTTTTTATGTACAATTTTAGTCTTTAATTGCCAGAATAGTTTATCACATTTCAAACCGTTGCTTGGGGATGCAAAAAAAAAACAGAAAATTGCTTTTTAGTATTAATATTGCCAAATAAAATTGTTAAAGCTTCAGAATGAACTGTAAATCAGAACTTAAAAACTTAAAACTACGTAAAATTTTAAGGTTATGCTAGTAAAATTAAACAGGATAAAAGAAAGGCACGTGACGTGGGAGTTTGTCTTTCATAAATCGCTAGATCCGCACGATCTGACCGGATTTGACTATATGTAACAATTGCATGCTTCCAGCAAGGCAAAATTATTTCTTTTTTAAGTCCTGTATTGGAAAATAAAATAAATATTAAATCGCCTGAAATAAGCATTTTCGTGTTTTTTTTTAATAAAATATTTAGGAATCCACGTGCCTAGCTGTAGCTGAGTTGATTATGTCTGGTTGTAATATGACTAATGAGGAATAGATAGAGTCTATATGGGGAATGCAAGTGGGATAGATATAGACAAGTAAAGTTAATAATTCAACATTTTAAATCGAGAGAGGTTTATTGATAAATGTACATATATCTCCCGGGGGCGGATTAACATTCGATGTCCGAAGGTTTGATACGTTTATCGATGGAGATTTTGTATCTTGTTTTCATGACTTTTGGATCGCGATGGAACACTTTCCCCTTCACAAGAATTGCTTTCTTTACGGGAAGGAAAAAATCGATATCAACGTGACCGAGTTACAAGTATTTGCATTTTACCTATCAAGATCTCCGTTACATATTCGCTTATATTGCGCATTTTCTGCCTGCATTTCCAATGACACTTTACAGTCTTAGCAAATTAGTCGTAAAAACTGCGAATAGAAGAAAAAAATGTATAAAGTTTTGAAATTTTGATACGGAACTCCCAGTGCTAACTCTAATACAGATCCGAAGAGTTTTAACCTCCCCTCGGGGAGCTAAGAAACCACCCCAAAGGTGACTTCACGGCGGCTTTTTGTATTCCCCATTAAATTCTACGTGAAACAGGGTTAAAGGGTCAAAAGTCTAAGATCAGTTGTCCAGTTAAAATTAAGACTTTTTTCCCATAAATATATGTCTCAACTTGATTTGTGTTCGAATGTCAAAGTTTTTATAAAAAATCGGATTTTCATTAATTATTCAAAACCATTTTCATGATTCTGATTAAACTTGGCCCGCTAATTTGCGATAATAAGGAACTTCCTTTGAAGCAACTTTTTTGGATTAAGCTATTAAGCACATTTTTTGCCTTTTCTAGTTTTTTCGTAACGCGTTTTGATAAAAAAAAGGTATAACAACAAAATATTTCATGTTTACTGCAATGTTAGGTTAAAATAAATAAAATGTAAGGTGTTCACTTTTTTGTAATTTCAGCATCAGCATTTACCATAGGAAGAAAAATGGGTCTCCATTAATGACAACTACGGAATGGAGAAATATTCTATTTTTGATATTTAGTCAATTAAATCTTTGGAGTGTGCTTGACTAATTCTGGCTAGCTTTCGAATCCCAAACATCAAACTTAGACATGAATTTTGTGGCTTTTGAATCCGGCGTTTATCAAAATAATTTAAACCAGGGCCGTAGACTTCTGAGCTTAACTGAGACAAAACCGGACAATCGCAGAGTTTTATATTTTCTTCGTAAAAATTTGTAAAAATTTAGAAAATCTCCACAGAGTAACTACCCTATAGAAATCTCCCGTTCGGTTGAAAGGACTACTGCTGGTTTGCATTTCATTTTAAACAATGTTTAGTGGACACCTCGTAAACTCTGTTTAAGTCATAGTTTAAGGCTCCAACTGCAAAATGAAGTGAGAGCAAGAAATGAAGGTGGAAAAATTCTGATTGAATTTTAAGCCAAAAATTCACTACAATTTTCAACAGCATATCAGGAGATTGCACATGTGGCAATCACCAGATGGATCACAAGCTTTCGAGTGTGCGGTAGCACTAACTTGTACATATAGGAACTTTCATCAGAAAAAACCATAGATAACTCCATTAACATGAATACTTATATCAGAAAGGAGAGAGATCAAAATTAAGCGCACAATAAAGAAAAATATAGCGACCTTATCAAAAAAATCAGCCGGAGTGTAAATAATGACCAAACGAATACATATCGTCGAATATTTTCAAAAATATCAGAATGCTTTCAAAAACACCCATTTTAAAATCTGAGTTAGAAGCCGCTCTATGTTAGCTTAACAAACAAAACAATACGTACTGATCAACTGCATCAAATCTGCACAGAGGTATGGTCCGATAGTTAAACAGAATCAATATACATCCCATTACATTATTAATTATATTATAGAACCATAACTCTGATCAGCCATGGCAGTAAAAGTTCTCTTGTAAATCGTACAAGAGATCCAAACAGAACAAGTAGTAATAAAAAGAAGGATCGAAATGTTAAAAGAAACTTTGGGCAAGCTGGTCAAGATCTGGAAAGAAGACCATATTCCGAAAATGACCAAGATAAAACTTCTAAAAGCGCTGATATTCATCATCGCAACCACAAAGAATGCAGAATCTTGGACGCTGAACGCTGGAGAATAGAGGCGTTTGAAATGATATGCCATCGCAGGATGAGGATCCCAAGGATGCCCCACGGGGCAAATATTTCCATACGCCGCGAACTCAATATTCGAGATCAGAGAAGGATACTCCAACAATCCAGCGAAGCATACTCAAATCTTTCGGCCATTTTATACGGAAGGACGTGATAGAGAATATTATGATCCAGGGGAATGTCGATGGCAAAGGATCTCACAAGTATGTCAGTATCAGGAACTATGACAACCGTAGAGGATAGAGAAGCATGGACCATGAATAAGTCGGTGCTCGAAATAGAGCATCGACTGGATAGAAACAGAGATCTCGAAAACAAATCAAGTTAGAACATGTATGTATGCATTTTTTTCTGAAAACCCTAAAGCTCGAACAAGAGATAGTGGTCATATGATAATTGTTTATACCTGTGAACCTACAGTTTTGAACTCGTTTTCACACTACCCTTGAGGTAGATTCGTTTTTTAAGGGGTTTCCCTGTGAGCGAATTCCACTAATATAACTGATCATTTGCTTCTGCAAAGTCTTTCACCCCGACAACATTTAAAGAGCTCTTTTCAATTTTCTCAATGTCAACTCGGATTGACATACGCTATGACAATTGTAGTGTAAAGTCCAGTTAGAGCAAACGCGCAGTTACGTCATAGCAGCTAGTTCATTACTGCATGTCCTAAATTGACACAGGAATTTTGTTTGGTAGTTTTGAAATCCGCATCTTAAAACGGTAGGTAGCAATATAGCTAAGACATACGGTTCATTTTTTATTACGTCAATATACGTGATGTAACAACTGCTCTGACTGGAGCATGCCCATTTTCAATATATAAATTTGTACCTACTGGCAACTAAAACAAGGCTGTAGTTGCAAAATTCACGCCATCAGGAGTGGAAATATTAATTTTAATCGAGCCTAAAAGCAGTATATAACTGAAATTCCAATTTTTCCGTAATTTTCATTCAACTGTCGAGTTTATCATATCATCGTCAATTAGTTCACAACCCCAACTCAAATTGGCCCTTCTTCCGATAACGATGGAGTGATTCGCAAAGTTCGAAAGTCTCTTCAATTAGCCTGAAATATGGTTTGTCGTCACTTAGGGACAAACTTTTGAATTATATTACCGTATTAATTCGTGCGATAGCGGCTTATTTGTTAAATTAGTCCAAACAAGGGGCTATTTAAATCGGGAAGCGGCGGTATAAAGTTTGCCAACTTCCGAGCTTTTAAAGAGGCAGGGGATATTTAATTTTAAACCGTTAGGGTTAGCAAGTGAAAATAAATTTCATGTAAGTATTGAAACTTAGCTAATTTGGGTCATTTACGTAACATAATATAAATGACAATCTAAAAATTCAGTTCAACAAGAAGCAACTTCAACACATAATTAGAGATCGTTATATGGATGACGTGAAACTAAATTAACATCTGTTTTTGTTTAATATTCAAGGGCGTCATCTGCTTACTCTGTTCTCCCTGAATTTAATTAAGCATAACTTTTTTGTGTCGCACTGTATGCAATTTTTGACTAGGCAGGGCTATTTTATTTGCAAAAGGTACATGTAAAAGATAAAAAATTATGTAAAATAATAGAAAAAATACTTCTATTACATTTTGCACCGGGTGTCCGAAATCTATGAGTGATATAAAAAAAAGTTTGAATACCAAAGTTCTTTCCAGTAAAATGATTTATAATTTTTTTGTATTATTTCAATTGTCACTGAGTTACATACAGGGTGGTCAAATAGAGTTACATAATAACTTATCAAACATTTTTCTGCGCAACATACTGAAGTAATACTTCTTCTTAGGAAATATTCAAAATTAGAATATTTTATCAAATACCATGTTTTGGCAAAATGTTACTTCTCTCAATTTAATTCTGAAATTTAATATATAATTGATCGCATTCACTTAGTTAATCCCGTCCCAAATTCGTTGTTGTAATTGAAAAATTTCTATTGGCTTCTTTTTGTATGCTATTTCTTTTAAAGTGCCCCGCCAAAAAAAGGGTTTAAATCCGGGTAAGAAGCTTGCCAGAACATAGTGCCCTTACCTAAAAACTCCCTTAAAAAATTTACTGATAAGGAGCGCTATTTTTTTTTCTTGTTGCCAAATTAAATTTTAAATATTGTTTCTAACCCTGACCACACTGACCACACTTTAACCGATCTTCTGTCTAATATGTCCTCTTTTATTTACATTTTCACATTTTCGATTGAGGAAATGCTTGTTAAAAGCTTAAAAATGGAAATGCAATCGATTTACTGTCAAAAATTATTAATATTGATATGACAACTATGACACTAATATTTTCATAGTTTCTAATATTTCTGACATTATCAGGTAGTTGATTATGTGTTGGAAGCCTGATAAATAGGGTTATATAAGCCCTTGTTGTTTTTAATGATATTATGATGTATATAATTTTGCATCTGGGTGTCGTGCAATGTTCCAAACGCATTACTTTATCGGGCTTCCAGATCCCTAAATTCCTGTATAGGTGGTCTCTATTTATGTACAGTGCACTAATCATTGGTGTAGTGTTGCTAGAAATGCGTCTAACGTGTTCAGACCAACTCAATTAAAAGTCATGTATTGGGTATTTGGGATTTATATTAAAATCGTTACTACAAGATGTTTTTTTTAACCCTGCTAAGTATATTTCCGAAAATTTCTACGAATTGGTTGTAAGGTGGAGGTTTGCATACGGTACTAATTGTTAAATTGCCCACATTAGCACATCCTGCTTAGTATATAAAGATCTTTAGGTTGTATGCTGGAAATGCTCACAAATGTTAAATATCGTTCGTGCTTAATTATGCTCAAGGTATTATTTAAAAACAAACAAACATTTCGGTGATATCGATAATGATAAGAGTAGCGTAAACTAGTAATCTCTGTTTTCAACTTACACTGCACAGAAATCTGTCGAACTGTTTTACAATAAAATTAACAAAATAATCGAAAATAGAATTCCAAACTTAACTGGCTTGTGTGCGAATACGAGATGAAGGAAAAATATAAATATCACCAGAATTGGAAAAAATGTCGTAACAATTTGGATTATGTAAATTTTGCCAATTTAAGGAAACGGGTCAGAATGGCCATAGGGACCGATTATGAAAAATACGTTAAAAATACTGAAACAGGCAAGACTACTAACAGTTTTTTTTGCTTCTAATAAATCTAATGCTAAAACATCACCTACAACAGCTACATATGAAGGAGTCACACACACCGTGATGACTATTATTTCTCAGGCGTTCTCAAAGCATTTCTCCAGTGATCTTGTGCCAGACCCAAATATCCAAAACGATTTCGATTGCACTTTACCGAAAAACAAATTGCTGACAAGACTAATAGCATTGATATAAATACAGAAGCCGGTCCTGACCGAATACATTTTTATAAAATAATGCAAAAATCGGGCCGTTGAAACTCCTTTTCGAGAGATGTCTTAACGAACGAATTTATCCAATGCAATGAAAACTAGTTCACGTACCACGGAATTACAGAAGGGGCCAAAAAGCGACGATTATATCTATGCTGTCGACATTCAGAAAAATATTTGAAGATATTCTAGCCAAAGAATTTGACTTAAGAGATTTCACTAAAGCTTTTGATAAGGTTTCTTTTAAGATTCTTGTCAAAAAACAACAATATATTTGTGTCCATGGTAGCGTGTAGAAACTGGCCCTTGCAGAATAACTTTAGGGATTCTTCAAAGATCCCTTCTTTTCTTGGCTCAGGCAACACGATATCAAGCATTGCTTCAATATTCTGAATTTGCATACTTTACTGATGATTTTAAAGCACATAAAGTGGTTAAAACTATCTCTGAATGCTGGCAAGCAGATTTAAATACTCTGTGAAAGATACAAATATACAAGTGCTTTGAAATGAGCTTTTCTAGGTGCAAATATAAAATTGATTAAAGAACAAATTGAAACAATAATAAATACCTACCGAAACTTAGAACCTATAATGCGACCTTTCTAAAAATAGATCTGTGTAAGACACTTGCCAGGTTATACTTGGAATACATGAATGCATAAACAGAAAAAAAAACATCCAAAAAAAGTTTATGCGTTATGTTGCGTTTAAATTCCATCTAAACCTAATTTTTTTCAAAGAAATTGGATTCCTCCTGCGTCGGTACTTTGTAAATCAAACTGGCTGATGTTTCGCCAACCATCCTGTCGACTTTTTCAGAGCTTAACGGAAACTGGCTTGCATTCTACCTGCTTATATATCGTTTGAGGGGCGCCTAGCTGAATGAGGGACATGGACGTTTTCTCGGATGACTGATTCCCAAATTGCAAGTTAAAAGCCTGAATTGCGGTTAAGATTGTTGAGTTGGATTTTTCGTTGGTAGAAGAATTTTAGTTTTATCGAATAAGATTTGAAATCCGGTTTCATGATTGTGTTAGGCAAATACTAATAAGTTTATTTGTCGTAGTCTTAAGGATCTTTCATGTTTTTTGAGCATAGCTGATCTCTCCAATGCCGGGTATGCATGGAATGCTGTAACCGGAATTTTATCTATGACTCATCGAGAATGGTGAGATATTTTTGGACTAGTGGTAAATTTAATTTTGATGTAACATTTTTTAAGAACTTCTGATATGTGGTCAGTGATATTTTGAATGTGAGGAAAGACGACAGTGGAAAGTGTGGGGCTGCTTTCCGACTCATTCTCTTTAGAAGAAAATTTTGTGGAAACTTAGAGAGAAGAGCAGATATAACGTGCTTTAATTCGGAGTTCAGTGACTCGAGTTGAAATAGTTTTCGCCATTCACCACAACACTCGAAAAACAATGAATCCGAAAGCAACCCCGCACTTGCCAGTGTTGTTATCCTTTACTTTCATAACATCACTGGCCAACAGTTCTCAAGAAATATAACCTGAAAGTTAGATTTACCACTCAACATCTTCAATCCGTCAAAGACAAAACTCCTATTCAGTTTCAGTTAAGCTCTGAAGAAGGCAATAGTATGAAGAAAAACTTATGCGCCTTTAATTAATAAACTGAGCTCCAGAATATTGATTTCATCTGTTCTATTTATACACAAACTATTCTCTAATAAAATTGGCAAATCCAAGACTTTTAAAAAACTATAAACCATATAACTATTTATAAAATGTTACAGGTGTTTCGCCTGCAGGGGCAGCATCAGACATACCAAGACGCCAACTAAAATTGAATTTTTTATTAAAATAAACAAATTTGAAATATGTGTGCGTTTGAGTTGACGGCTCATCCAAATGTAAAAGAACTATAACTACTTTAGTGAGATAGATATATTTCACTTCAGTGTTAATTCTACTGGAAAACGAGTCCATGTTATTCAATGATTCCATATTGATTTGAAATGATACTTTGATTTCCTGTTTTTTTTTCCTTTTCCGGTTTGGTTAATTGGTTTATTAAATTTTCCTGTAGATCTTTTGTTATCTATTAATGGTAATAGATTAGTTATATATACTCTGTAATTTGTAATGTTTCAACATGACGTTGGGTACTGGAATAAACAAATATAAATATATGAGACATGAGATAATTATATGTATCTCGTTGGTGGAATACGCTTACAGGCGAAACCTTTCAAAAAAGTCGGACTGAGAACTGTTCGGATCTGCATGTGAGTTGTTACCCAAATTTGTAAACTTTATACATTTCTCCTTCTGTTCGTCATTTTGCGACTAATTTGTTTAGACTATTAAGAGCAATTAATAAAAAAGTTTAGATACTATACCTATACGAAGATTTCCGCTTCCGGGACCAGATTTCGATGGTTGATATAATGCAGACCTGACATTTCATCGTATTTGGCCTATACATATCTGTCTAGTCGAAAACAAATAATAGCGTTACACAATTTCTGTAAATTTATATTTGACATTGTGATATATTACCCACTATTCGATGACGATGCTCTTCTCTCACTTCTGATGCAGAATTCCTATTAAGTGAACCGCCATTTCCAAGAACGAGTTTTATTGAGGGCTTAAGTCGAACCCTCTATTACAGTGGTTATTCTGTTGAATTATTATTAATACATAGATTTAGACAGGCATTGACGAATTCCATGTACCGTTCGCCCACTTAATCAGAATGTATTGTACCGAAAAATTTGATAGATCTATCAGATATCATTTTAGACGACGTTAATAATTTTTTACTGTAAATATTTAAATAGTGTAATAAAAATTTTAATGACAACAAGTGTATCATTTATAATTCTATCCTCAAGCTATAACTATAGAGTTTCCCACCGTCCATTAAAAGTTCTAGGAGAAACAAAATAGATATTGCTGTGGTATATGGCCCTAATTGGCCCTGACGTACAATTGGAAAATATTTTCGCTTTTTTCTTCTGCCCGAAATTAGTGGCAACATTGAAATTTCAAATTGAACATATAATTTTTTATTGAAAAAAAATAAATGAGATTTTTTTTTAAACCTCGCTTTGATAAAGGGGATAGTTAATGAATGAAAATCTGCACTATTTTATACAGGCGACGCCGAAAAATAACTTTAACTTTTTTATTTAACGTTATTCAAATACAAAAGTTCTAATGGAACACCGTGTAAATTATACGCTTAATAAAATCCCATAAAAAATCTCTTCATTTCTTGAGATATATGCGCTTTGAACATAAAAATAACGAAATATTCTACATTTTATAATTTATATCTTAAATGGCTGCGAATTAAGTCACCAACAAATATATAACTGACAGTGACAGTTACCAGTTACAGATTTATCAAAGCTTACATTATTTTTATTATAAAAAATTAAAAAAAAATTATAATAAAAAAATATAATTTTATTATAAACTTATTCAGAAAGAGAAAAATAAATAATTTCTTGGGAAACGTTTGTTAAATCGTAAAAGGAACTACGTGTAATTAACCCCCGAACGCACGTTCCAGGCAAAAAAATCCAGTCTTCCAGTCCAGAAAGAAGAGAAGATTGGAAATAGATGATGATGAGATTTAGGGACTTTACTAAAAGTTGAAGAAAATCCCAATAATTTCATAAGAAAAATATCGGATAGTCAGAAAGAAGATCTTATTGATCAAAAAAATATATCTTACGCGAGAATTGAAACCACTCTGAAGAAAGCAGAACACAAATTCAACATTAGACTTTCTGCAAAATTGACCCAGGCATCGAGAAAAAGTTCTGCCATGCAATATCGGAAAACAATAACTGAAATGCGTTTATTTAAAAAATGTTTTTGAACCGATGAGTCATGGTTTTGAACCAGTAGATAGGCAGAAAGTTCCAATTACAAGGACGTCAAACTGTAAATGTGTGGTGTGCTATTTTCAACAACAGGACACAGGACAATGTCTTCATTTCTTCGAAGTTACTTTAAATGATAATGGTTATCTAAATTTCATTCAGAACGAATTAGAAAATTATATGGATGAGCTCCCATTTGAACAACTAAGAAACGTCGTCTTACAACAAGAGGCACTCCCTCTCGTTTTGTAGTATTTGTTCAAGACTATTTAAATCAAATTTTAATGAATGGAAATTTTTCAAAGAAACTTGCACAAGCTACTCCAATGCTTTTTACAACTTCTGGATTTCTTCTGCGTAGGTTTTTACTTAGTCGAAATTGCTGACGTTTCGCCAATCATCCTGTTGGTTTCTTAAGAGCTTGACTGAAACTGGCTCGTATTTTACTCTGTACCTGATTATATATGTTTGTGGAGGGGGGGGGGGGGCGCTAATGAGGGGTATAAACACAATTTTAACACAATCTTAATCGCGACTCATTAGCCCCCTCTCCCTCATGCAAAATATATAAGCAGGTACAGAGTAAAATACGAGCCAGTTTCAGTCAAGCTCTGAAGAAGCGAACAGGATGATTGGCGAAACGTCTGCATTTTCGACTCCGCAAAAACCGAAGCAGGAGGAATCCACAAGTTTTGTAAAAAGCAATATAATGGCCAACCAACATTTTTGGTTAGTGAGGCCGATGGATGCATTTTTATGGAGAACCCTAAAAGATCGTGTAAACGCGAATGCCATCGAAAACAGAGAGCATCCAAAAAACCTGTTTAGGGCAGAAGTTCGAATTCTAAATGAAGAATATTCCCAATCTATCACGGCCGTTTTAGAAATATTACGGGGGACCAGTTGAACAAATCTATTTGTATAACTAATCACCATCATTTTATGGCATACTTACTTAAATTACAAGTTCTAGAATATTTCTACAAATATTTCGAAAACTATTGAATTCAGGTACACAGGTATTAGGTGCAGGCTTAGGGGGCATCTTTGCTTGCTGGCCATTGGAGACGACCCGGAGTGGAGGTGGTGCATGAAAGGTGAGGAGACCCCGTATCATCTGCTCATCGAGTGCCCTGCTTTGACATGGGCAAGATTGGGAGTCTTCGGAACGCCGCTGATCGATCCGGACTCAGTGCACGGTATTGGGCTAAAGGAGTTGCTGACCTATAGGAGGGGTGGTATTCTGGGCGCCCTCTAGAGCGGCCTGGGGGCACAACGGGCCCATCTGGAGGCCTAAATGCTTGGACGCCCGCAAGGACGCCCCCCTCTTTAATACCAATACCAATAATACCAACACAGGATATAATTAGGTATTAGAATATAATATTATGCGAAATGTTCTTTTTGGCTAGGCTGGATGTTTGTTGAAATTTTTCGTAGATTCGATGAAAACAATCATTTTGTGTTTTGGTGACGACGACACAGCCACCTAAGATATAAATTATAAATTCTAGAATATTATTTTATTTTTGAATGCTGCTTTTATGTTAAAACTTCATTTGATTGACATCTGACAATACGTTTCTGTATCCACGCATTGAAAATGCTTTAGCTTCTTGGTCCTGCAGGGGGATATTTTCAAGACCATCAGGAAAACCGGTCAATCATTGTTCGGCAATAACGAAACCCGTTGATCGATGGCATAACCACATGCTCAAACCTTGTCGAAGCAGGGATAAACGAACCTATGGTTGCTGACGTATGACGGCAGATTTTAGCTCGCTGGGACCCCCGGAAATTTTTAGTTCACTCTTTACTGTCCTTTTTAACCGATGGCCACACAGACGGTGGACAGTGCCTAATGCTGCTCTCCGGAATAGCTGTGTAATAAATAATCGCAGTGACGCATATCAATAGTGTTGACTCTCGGAAGCTGAATGCGCTTGAACCGCTGCAACTTCTTGAGTTCTTCGTCGTTCGCCTGATATGTAGCAAGGACTTCAAAGTGAAAGAATACATTCTAGCCCTTCGATGCGCGATAGTGCATCTGCCATTACGTCATTCCCAACGGAAATGTGTCGAATGTCGTTGGAAAGTTGTCCGACAAAAACTAGATAGCTGGTTTGCTTTTTGGCGAAATGCATGGTCCGTAAAAATCACGCATTGTATTCCTTCGACAATAGGACGAAAGCGCCGAATTGCCAAGTATATCACCATAAGTTAACGATCGAACACGCTGTACTTCCTTTCAGCCGAGCTAAATTTTTTTGAAAAAAAAAAGAAAACAGAAATATCAGAATAACTTGCACCTATTCGTGTAGATGGCGAGAAATTATGTACCAGAAATATAGTTCTTTTACATCCGACCCCGTGATTGACTTTACCTGCTACAGCCCCTTATAGAACACTCGTAACTATTCCAGGACCGTCGTAGGAATTTATCTACCTTCCAATCAATTTTTTTCGCCGAGAAATTCGTGAGATATATACACAAAAAAAATAGTACATAGTAACAATTTATTATGTTCTATGTCACTTGTTTGTACTGGTGCTCCTACTTCCCCTTCTGAATTTCTTATAAAACTGTCAACATTCAAAACAATTTCTTTTGCATCCGAAGACAAATGGATCCGTTTTTTAATTTGCTGAGGTAGTTCGTCTTCTAAATTGTCATTCGAATTCTGCGTTGTTCTCCATGTCTTCTTCTCCACATTTTAACGTGTTAAAAAACAGTAACCTTGAAAAAATGTTTATCGCAAGATTCTAATATTTATCTGTATCGGATATAATCTATAGTCTTAACAAATACTGTTGTTGTTTACAAATCGAAGAACTATGTAGAAGACACAAAAATATAAGTAGAAGAATGTTGTTAATTGACAGGCACAAAAGACAAAAACGAATATTTTCCAACTTACGTGTAAGATAGTAGAGTACAGGTACTTACCATTACCCTTTGAACTAACAGGTAAAGTCTGTTAATAACTAACTGATACGAATTAAGGAAAGACTCGGGCAGGCTGTTAGAATGAAATATGGCCGAACAGGTTTGTACTTTGCGTAGAATTTAATTATTTGGGGTTTTGTTAGGAAAGATACTAAACAATATTTATTTATATATGTATTTATGTTTAAATCTAAAATAAAATTAAAAATTATTTTTAATACCTACTTAAATTATTTAAAATTGTTCACATAATATATCAGTATCACTTTCGCTATCATCGCCTGTTCTAATTATTATTTGTTCTATATTATTTGCAATATGGATATACGATTGTTCTGCTCTTTCTATATGTTTAACAGAATTTGCCCAACTTTGTGGAGGGATGTTAAAAACTTCGGTGTCTATAAGTTTGAGGACATTGAAGTTGACACGGGGAAAAACATTCTTACGAGGAATAGCAGATTTCAGTTGGTGCCAAACATGTTCAATGGGATTAAACATACAGTGGTAAGGAAGCCTTAAAACTGTATGCCTCACATTTTTTGCATAATTATCACAGACGTATTCCTTTTGTAGGTTCAAGCTTTGTAGAACCACAATTAATTGCTTTTTGGTATAATGTTTATGAGAATAAATGTCATTATTATACATGTAGTTTTGGATTGTTGCTTTTGTGTCACATGAGGAAGGAGTTTTAGTCAACTGTCTACAGTGATAACTTGCATTGTCCATTACAGTTACGCTATTAGGAGGAATGTTTTAACTAGTTTGTTTTTAAACCAACTTTCAAATAATTCAGCGGTGGTGTCTTCATGGCAATCCAGAGAAAAATCTTTAATATTTTTCGCAGACAGAGAAAGTCCATTTGGAATCCAACCATCTTTAGAGCCAACATGCAAAATAGTTATTCTTTTACCTCTTTTTGATGGCGCGCTTGTTTTATACTTATCAGTTCAGTCAACCCAACACTTTCCCGGGGAATCCTAAGTGTCGAACCATGTTTTATCCAAGTCAATAATTGGCCTTTATTGTTCTCTTTAAATCATCGCTTCTTTTTTTCCTTGCTGAAA